ATTATGATGAAAAATATTTCAAGAAATGGTTGCAGAAGGAACCTCAAACAAGAGAAGTTCAGATTATGCAGAGATTTGAAAAAATAACTCTCAAGTAAGGACTCGATTTTAATAAGACTCATAGCTATTTGGTATTCACATGCAGCCTGATACATATGATTGCCATTGGTTGTCAAGTACACTTGGCTACTGTCAATATTTTCACTGTTAATACACAAGAAGGTTAAAAAGTATTTTTTTTTCTAATAGTGTCTTTACAACCAAAAAGTTTCAATGAATATTCATTTTGGTGGTCATGGTAACACTGTCAATCAAATCAGTGTTTGCATTGTCGGCAAAAATGACAGAACATTGGGCAAAAATTTGCCAGCACCTTATCACACATTATTTTGATAAACAAATAAACTCTGCCGTGAATGGTTACTTATTGATGGCTGTCACTATCTGATGTTCCTGCAATTTAATTGGTACCGTCAAAAAATCGATGGCCCAGGGAAAGTGAAAAAAACTACATCGTTCTGTCAGGTGTGTGTTGGGTTTGAAGCACAGTGGAGGGCACAACTCACGTGACCTTGTCAGGCTAGATTATACCTTGATTTATATGTTTTCATAACAATGGATACCAACATATCACTGCTAACATACATACGGTTGCCCTATATGCTAAATGAATGTTTTGAATGAGATAAGACAGGAAATTCTTTTCCTGCTACCTTAACATGTGCAGAGAGCATCTATCCAGTGTAGAAGCTGTAGTCCATGGGATGAGTGGCGCTGTAGATGAATTACATAAAGTAGAAAGTAATCTACATAAAGAAGTTATGATGAGTTCTTATCACCACCCATCATTCAGTGAGTAAATCTGATTACCCTTTTAGCAAACTTATGTACAGTATGTATATACCAACATGGTACCCATTCTGAGTGGCTAACTAAATTCATACCCATTCTTGGTGACTAACTAAATTCATACCCATTCTTGGTGGGTAACTAAATTCATACCCATTCTTGGTGGGTAACTAAATTCATACCCATTCTTGGTGACTAACTATTAAAATTCATACCCATTCTTGGTGACTAACTAAATTCATACCCATTCTTGGTGGGTAACTAAATTCATACCCATTCTTGGTGGGTAACTAAATTCATACCCATTCCTGGTGACTAACTAAATTCATACCCATTCTTGGTGGGTAACTAAATTCATACCCATTCTTGGTGACTAAATTCATACCCATTCTTGGTGGGTAACCAAATTCATACCCATTATTGGTGGGTAACTAAATTCATACCCATTCTTGGTGGGTAACTAAATTCATACCCATTCTTGGTGGGTAACTAAATTCATACCCATTCTTGGTGGCTAACTAAATTCATACCCATTCTTGGTGGGTAACTAAAATCATACCCATTCTTGGTGACTAACTAAATTCATACCCATTCTTGGTGACTAACTAAATTCATACCCATTCTTGGTGGGTAACTAAATTCATACCCATTCTTGGTGACTAACTAAATTCATACCCATTCTTGGTGACTAACTAAATTCATACCCATTCTTGGTGACTAACTAAATTCATACCCATTCTTGGTGACTAACTAAATTCATACCCGATCTTGGTGGGTAACTAAATTCATACCCATTCTTGGTGACTAACTAAATTCATACCCATTCTTGGTGGCTAACTAAATTCATACCCATTCTTGGTGGGTAACTAAATTCATACCCATTCTTGGTGACTAAATTCATACCCATTCTTGGTGGGTAACCAAATTCATACCCATTCTTGGTGACTAACTAAATTCATACCCATTATTGTGGGTAACTAAGTTCATACCCATTCTGGTGGGTAACTAAATTCATACCCATTCTTGGTGACTAACTAAATTCATACCCATTCTTGGTGACTAACTAAATTCATACCCATTCTTGGTGGCTAACTAAATTCATACCCATTCTTGGTGGCTAACTAAATTCATACCCATTCTTGGTGACTAACTAAATTCATACCCATTCTTGGTGGCTAACTAAATTCATACCCATTCTTGGTGGCTAACTAAATTGTTGTATTCATTTTTTGATCAATTGATGGCTTTACTATAATTAGGGCAAACATTCTCATTCACTGAAGAGCATATCTGAATTAGAGATGGCTGAGTAAGAATTTTCATGTGCTAAGAGTATATTGTTGGCATATAAAGTAAAAATAGAGAATATTTAAAATTAATTCAAAACTTAGGATTATTTGAGATGCACAACATGAAAATAATTTGATCCATGTACAGAATACTGACAGAAAATAAATTTAAAAATAAAATATATTTAAAAAAATATATTTTCAATATCTGTCATTTTCATTGAGTTCTAAACTTGTTTTATTTATTGTAGATGAAACAAAAGATGAAATTTTATATGAACCAGAAGTTGAACAATTAAGAAAATTTTTTCGAAAAAATCCTAGTCAAGCAGTAAGTAGTTTTATTTGATCATATATCTTGTAATTATTATTATGTAAATGTTTAATCCTTCATATTTTCTTATCTTCATATTTTTGATATTTCCTTTTAGATTCGATACAACAAATATGATCGTAATGCCATTCACGATGACTCACATGATTTACACCATCATCTGCAACACCGCAGTCATCATTTGCAAAGACAACGACGGTTATCGCACAACTTTGCATTATCCCGTACTATGTCTCCAACTAGCAGTGGTTTAAGCTCACCTTCATTGAGTCCCAAATTACATAATAGTGATCATTACTGTATTGAAGATGATAGGTGGTACAATAGTGCATCCCAAAATTTGTATGAAACAAGTGTGTAGAATACTGTCCATTTCACTGATGCATCAACGTTCACAGATGCTGTAACAAAGTAGGCTGCATAACTTTTCTTTTATATTCTGTATACTTGAACCAAAAAACTTTTTTTGTTCATCAAATATTACGACTTAAAAGGCAGTGGTCGTCGCATAGTGAATGTTCGAATTTCATGTAAACGAACAGTGTACTAGTATTTTACATGCCTTATGTATATCATTATGAATTTCATATTGAACAGGACAATCACCGTTCTTTAAGTTATTAAAGATAAAGCTGATTATGCAGAAAATATTATCATATTTTTGATCATAATCCTGTAAATAGAGATTGAAGTGAATCATTCATAAAATAGTAAGGGACTGTGGATAATTAAAATATATGTACAGTAAACATTATTTTTTTCATTTGGATGTGAGTGAAAAGGGTTTAGAGGTTAAAGGTGATTTTACTTGTATGTAAACATTTGTATAGAGGGTGGGATGTAATTATGTTCTTGGTATCTTCAAATGTAATGTGTATTTTTCTGCTTGTGATAATTTTTATTTTTATCAAATCATCGTCAAACATAGATATTATCAGAACAATATCAAACAATTTTGGATGTTAGTTATATCATGTAGCATAATTTATTTTCCTGCCACGATTGGGTCTGTATGTTCCTGATAAATACTTCATAGATATAATATTGTATTGTTTGTGGTGATTTTACTATAGAGTATAGAGACATTTAGGTTAATACAGTTCATGTTATATAATTGGATCATTGGGGTTAATAAACTTCATGTAACACTTTGATACATTTTCAAGTTTGTTCCTCTCAAACTATACCCCAAAACTACACGTCTTATTCCATTAATGGACTATGTATTTTAATAAGCTTCTTCGTAAATTTTATCAGATAATTATGTTATAAATTAGTAATTGACAATTGACATGGCTGACACATTGTTAACACAACAA